AGGCAGCACGGTTGAAGCTTTCTACATCCCGAGGCTATGTAGCTGCATTAGAATTCATTTGAATGATTTTTTTCCTTCTGCTGTTCGATCAAGTTTCATAAACTTCTTTTCACTTTCCCTCTTGTTTTGATCTTCGGAACAAATCCGTGCTGCCGTCCATCTTCAGCCTTCTTAAAGTGCTGCTTTGTTTATGAAGCTGGTGCTAATTTTCTTCAGCTGTTTWTTGGTGCTGAGAAGTTATTGAAATCTGCTCGCTTTGATTACAAGTAATTTTTAGTTCAAACATAACTCCTACAGTTTCAGTTGAAAGCTTATATGCACTCATTGCRGATGAACTGGCTTCCTGTTAATGATTTATTTAAGGGAAAAAATATTGTAATGCACACATGGCTTTCTATGCAGTACAATAATGATTGTATTGCATACAAAACCATGCTTTGTAAGGGAAATATTTTTATTTTTATTGCTCAGTTTGTTTAAGTCTCTTACCTCTAGCCTCTGAATCATTCAGGCATCAAAAGGCTCCTGRATTCTAGGGGATGAACCGGAGATGTTTGGACACCGAACAGATAACTCAGCTGAAGACTAATTGTAAATTGGATCTTTAGGTTATTTTTTGTTCCAGCAGTCTGTGACAAAGACACACTTTGTTCCCACTTCTTTGGTAGAATCTGTGAAAAACACCAAAGATAACTCAGTTTGACAGACAGAAAATAGGATTTTAGCTCCAACAAGACGTTTCCCGAAGCGCTGTTAGCTGCAAACTTGACATCCAGTCAATCAACTGAAGGATGATGCATCTATCAGGTCTTCAGTGAACCTTTTTTTATTCTTTTGTAAAAATATGACTTGCAAATATTGTCCTGATGCATCTCAATRACCCAGAAAAATCTGACATGGGTGAGTCCAGTCGTCTGGATGGGCTGTTCTTCATTAAATCATTTTGTCTCTTATCATTCCTTAGTCTTTGGATAAGAGACGAAACATTTCAATGAAGAAGAACTGATCTAAAGGACCTGACTCAACCTTGTTAGAACATGCACATGCTTTTATACTCCATCTTTTATTTATTTTTTATGCCCAAATAACATAATATGTTGTTCCCATCATGTACCATAACTATGTTGAACAAAGAGCAAGGGAAAAGGAGCAAAAGTCCAACAAACTTYATCTTTGAAAAAACATCAGAAAGCTTCAAGATTACTTTTGAAGATTACAAAATGAGTTTGGAAAAGTGGAAGTAAACAATAAACAATAAGATGTTTAAAACTTTTGCACAGTGCTGTGCACATTTTATTTTTTATGAGCTTTCTAAAATTTATAAAGTAGAAGTTACACATACAGGCGCAAACATTTAAATACCTTTACTTGTGGTTGAGGAGCAGTACTTGAACCTGAACCTTCCATCGATGGACTTCAGGTGGATGTAGAGGACGAGCGGGAAAAAAGGAAGGCCTGTGAGGGAGCCTTTTGTTTTAACCCCGCCCCTTTTTTTATCAAATACAAAAGCTGCAGTGTAAAATGAGAATTTCATAAGATTGTCATTGTGGCTGTTTCTTTCCGTAACCATGTGTTATTTTTCAATGCCATTTTTTTCAATGCCAATTTTTTCATTGACAATGTAAGCTGTCACTGTTTTAGCTTCATATAACTAACTTTAAAAAAAACCTTGAAATAGTGTCAAAGTAAACGGAGTGGGTTCCTCCAAAGGGCAGTCTTTAGTGGATGTGAGTTGTCACACACTGATATAAAAAAACAATGATTTAAAACATTTGGAGGTTTCATAAAAAACAAGGAATATCTTCCTGCACACTCCAGACGTCTGCCACCTGTTCTATTTTTAATCCTCTGCATTTAAATGCAGTTCAGTAAAGCAGCCATGAAGGGGGAATGTCCTGCTAACACTCCCGGCAGGCCCAGCGGTRGAAAACCACGTTACACCTGAACATATTCATCTTCATGCCACCTACACTGACCTGACACTGTGTCGACAYCTCCAACACAACATCACACCTAATACCTCTCAACCGCAGTCGTGTTTTTTTTTATTTTGTAGATATTCATGCTTGAAATGGTGTTTTTTTTCCCTCTGCGTTTTTCATTATTCAAAGGTTTGACAAGCTGCTTTTCTCAGACCACACTCTGACAACTGAACTGCTGAGTTTTCCTCTAAGCCCACAAATTCTTTCAAATATCTCACAAAACAAAAGCAATGCCTCGCAGCCCAAGCGCCCCCCACCCTTTCCTGTCACATTGACAAGTGGTCAGACGCGCTCCGTTTTCCGCCGGCCCCCCGCCCCGAGACAGCTGATTGACGGGGGAAGAAAGACAACATGAGGTTTGCTCATAACCCTGTCCCCCGGATTTAATGGATGATCTCTCTGCTTTCTCTTGGCCCCGCAGGTGCATCGGGCCAAGACTCCAAGATTGCGTTGGAATGATGGACAGGTGAGTGATCTCAAGGTGCATTCGTGATGCAGGTACTGGGAGACCACTGTCAAGTTCCTGCCACAACTCGTTAAAGTTCCCGTTAAAACCTGTTTCTCCAGATGCTCATTAACAGGAGAGTAGTATGACCTAGAAACCTTGGGTATGCCTGCACTAAACTTTGGGTGCAGTTAGTAAGGAGCGCCATTATTCGATGTCTTCATGTGTTTTGTGCTACATTTAGTTTCAGTGATGGAAGTTGTTGGAAAGTATTGGAGAAGATGGGGTTATTGCGCAATATTTGCAGACTTTTTGTGCTTTTGCACTCAATACATTTACAGTTTGGGATACTAAAGCAAAACTCTTAACGAGTTAAGCAGTCTGTTTGCTAAAAAGAATATTGCCCAATGCATTTTATGCAAAACCGGCTGCCAGTAGATACCAATAACTTGATTTGTTCTTGTTTTTGTAATGTTCTTATTACCTCCTCCAAGGAGGTTATGTTTTTACACCAGATTGCTCAAAACGTTAGGAGCAAATTTAAATTAAATTTTCAGAAAATGTTGAAATTGTCACAAAGAGCAAATAATAACATTTTGGTGGTAACCTGGATCCCCATCTAGATCCAGCTATTTTTAAGGATTCCTTAACAACCATTACCACACRTCGTTTTGCAGATATTGGCATCTTTGTTTAAAGCAAAATTGGGCATATGAAACATATAGGTCAATATCTTCTTAATTTTAATTTACAGAGACTTGCCAAAACTAAAAAAATAAATGAATAAATTAGATTCTTTACCTTGGAAAGCATTTCTGAAATATTCAGTTTGATTTTGCCACCAGAAAGTATCGTTAGCATTGTAATAAAGAGGTGCAAACACAGAAGAAAATGTTTCATTTGCAAACTATCCCAATTAAATTTTCTAAAATACAAACTCTGAAAACTGGATGAAATTGAGGCGTGTTTAGAGCTGTATCTAAAGCTTTAAAAGATCCAAACAGCAGAGGCTTTGAGTCGCTCTTAAACTAAAGAAACTGGGGAGGAACTTTGAACTTTTTCACTGAGACACTTCGGTGCCTGATTCTTACGATGCCATCACCTCCCCCCCACCACCCCCNATTTCCCCCTGATTACACGAGTCCTTTCTCTTATCTACTTCTGTCTCGACTTGTTACCCATCTCAGCACCAGTTTGGGTAACTTTCTCTTTGTCTTTTTCCAAACTTTGCTTTTTTTCTCTGCCTTTTTGTGTGGATTATCACCTGCTGCCAATCTAAAACTGATTGACTTTTGGAGTCAACCAAATTTAAATTAGCTGCCACGGTGTTAAAATACCCAAGGACTGCTGTAATTTGTACAGTTTTACAGATATTGTGCTAACATTTTGTTAAGTTGTAGCTGGCAGTCATTCACAACGTGTCCGGCAAATGCTGCAATTTGCGATAGATCTTTGCCTATATCTGTACTACTAACCATTTAATACACTTAAATGAATCATTGGATGGAAGTCTACACCTGATTTATCTTTGGACTCTATTTTATTCAAAATGGTTACCACAGCTAATTGACCTTAGCTAGCATAAATGTTTGTAATGCAATCAGTTTCACAGGTGTTGGGCTGAAATCCTACAGAGGCCGACAGGTGAAAATGTGCTGCAAACACATGAATAATGCAAACAAATGCAACAGAAAGAACGCTGGAGTCACACAAAGAGACAGAAACTAAAACAATAARATTCAAATTATTTATGTATCGCCAAGTCACAACAAAAGTCACTGTAGAAAAGGGCACTGTACATCACATACATGATTAAAGTCAGTTAGGAATAGTTATCTAAGAAAGCCAACAGATTGTATGTTAATGTATGGCAGACTGCAATGAAGTGAAGATTCAATGCAAACAATAAAACAAATGCAAAACAGGAGTGGTCCAGACCACAATGGGGACTCGACCACCAAGTCATATGGGACCAGAYCTCCTGTAAAGACATTAAAGGAAAAATGTACCTTTTCTTTCTTCCCTCAGTCTTCTGTATCCTGATGTTTTTACTGAGGCTCTGGTCCCTTAAGACTTGGTGGTCGAGTCCCCCAAATGGGTCTGGACCACTTCTGTTTTGTGGACTGAGTTTGCAGTGATTTCTTACCTGCAGTTGGTATTTGAAGCATTTTAGCTTTCATCATTTTTTTTATTTATTTTTTTTGTGTGTGATTACAGCATTTTTCTGTTGCATTTCTTTTTCTGTATTTGTGTGTTTGGAAGTTTTTATTATTTAGGTGTATTTATCCATTTGCTGCACATTTGCACCTGTCGGCCACCAAAGAAATGTGACGTAGACAACTAGGTCAGATAAGAATCATCCTCCACACATTCTTTGAAAGCTAACGTGTCTCACAAAATCAAAAACAACTTTAGCTCCTCCTCTTTTCACTAGAAGATGATTTGGGTGTAAAACTCAAGAATAAAAGACCTTTATTTTATTTTGTTTTCATGTGTCCTTTATTTTTTCAAAACCTTCACGTTTCTCCTCTGACCCAGTCACTTTAAAGTGCTTCACCACATGTTTTTATGTCTCATTAGGGCCACACGCTCAGCCTCTGTCTTATATTTCAAGCTTAAATCTTTGATGGTCAAYGTTTCGCACCTTGCGCCACCAAATCACTCTGGTACACAAATCTTCCATTAGCTGCTAATGGCTGCTACAACTGATAGACTTTGAACTTCAGCTATCATGCAGAGTTATTTTACGCTCTGCGGCTGTGTTGAAAATGAGGGGCGGAGATAAGAGTTGGAGTGAATGTGGAACAAATAAAAGGAAGCAAAAGGGGCAAGGTAAGGGCAAAGAGTCATATAAGGACAGTATTTAATGGTAGCTCAACACCACATAAAAGTGCAGGTGGTCTATAAATGGCAAATGCATTAGGACTGTCGTTAATGAAGAGAAAGAGCTTTTAACTTCCTACCTTTACGCTTCCCTTAAGCAGATTTCTCCTGAAAAGGTGGGAAGCAATTTGACAAAGATAGGTACTTTTCATTACTCCTTTATTAGAATTATTTTATTTTATCTTCTTTTTTTTAATCTGAGGTAAAGCAAGGTTACAAAAGTCTGAACTATAGTTGGGTTAAGAGCCAAATCTACAAGCTGTATCTCCTCGAACCAAAGTTTTAAAAGACAACAAAACCTAAACAAGCAAAGTAAAATAATAAAAATGTCAATTTATAAGTTTTTTTAGGGGTTACATTTTAATCTGTTTTTATTAAAAATGCAGAAGTTTGCAATTTAGTTTCTGAATATTTCAGCAGGTTTAATATAATTTTTTTTCCATTATTATTTTTTTCTCCACAGGACACCCCTGATAGCAGCGGGCATTATCGGTGGTCTATTTATCATCGTCATTCTGGCACTCAGTGTTGCTGTTTATGTTCGAAGGAAGAGCATCAAAAAGAAAAGGGCCCTGCGGCGCTTCTTAGAGACGGAGGTAAGACAACTGAAGACATTTAAATAACAAAATAAATGTTTGTTTAAGCAGCTTTGTTGTTTTCAGCCTTTTGGTGAAAATAAAAAACTTTGCAAAGGTCAGATTTTAGTTTTTACTTTCTACACTTTTTCTTTGTTTACAATACCCTTTCACCTTTTTTCTGTTATGGCCTGTAGAGTTAGGGAGTTGTTGTTTTTATTCCCACAGAAAAGGTGCTCAGAAATGCCTTGTTGGTAGTCCAATCCTACTTTTCTTTACTTAATGACATCACTACTCTCTATTAGCATGTTTATTGTACCTTAAATGATTTTTTGTGTGTGTTTGGTCAAATCAGATGACCAATCAGAGCAGCCTGGCTCTTAAAAGTGGCAGGGTCTTCAAATAATGAGATGTAAATCTAAGCTTTTCTGTCACAAATTAAGAAAATTATGTAAAATAATCAAACTTTAACCATTTTAATGACACCTAAGATCAAGTTCTGGGATTTTAAAATATTATAGAATGAGACTTTTAATTGTAGAAGTCGGTAAAAAAGAACTGCACAGATCACAAATTGTCTCCTGCTGCTGAAAGATGGGCAATAATGTCTTTGCCTGTGTTTGTGTGGGCATCTATGTGCCTGTCTGATAGCAAAAAGTCTGAAAATGTAGTGAACATACTTCAATTAAACTGGGGAAATGATCATTGCCTCTACGAATTGGAGTCAAGATGGCCGCCATAGCGAAGTAACCCCAACAAACACAAAAATTGTCTGTAACTCAGCTAATCTGACAGATATCGAGCTAAAATTTTGGCATGGTATAGCTGGAAGTCAGTGGTGAGCATGGCTTATCAGCTAATAGCGAAGTTTCATTAAGCTTTTTCACTAACTTTGAAAACTGTTAGTAGCTTTTAGCCTCTGCTAATTTAGGTTTTGCTTACTTTAAATTCGCTAACTGAAAACAAACATTAACAGGTTTGTGTYAGTCCCACCAGTTTTCAGCTTGAAGGAGACAAAGACGTGTGACAGAATGAGTGAACGTCATCTTAGCAATTTGTAGTTAGCTGTTAGTGTTAGCTTCGGCCAATTTTTACTTTAGCTTTAGACTCTTTTTTATGTTTAGTGGTTTAGTTAGCAAAGCTATACTTTTTGTTAGCAAATTACAAGTTAGTGAAGCTAAGTTTTTGGTTAGCTGTAAGAAAATATTTCATGTTTGTTAGCTGAAGTCGAGACAAAAAAACACATTTATGTTAAATAAATTGAAGTGTGAAGAGATTAGGCCATCCAACCCCAGATCTTGTTATGAGCGAAGCTTTATTGCTCACGGCTGGAGAACCAAAGCAACGCTGCCTGAAACACAGACTTCCGGTCCTTTTAAATAGAGTCTTCAGTGCCTGGTGCGCCCCCTGCAGGCSTACGGCTGCATCACAGGCACTCTGAACAACAATACTCACCTACTGTATTAGAACGGTTTGTTATGTGTTGTAAAAATGTTTCAGGCCTGTATCTAAACTATTTTAATCAAGACATAACCATAGTTAAACAATGGATTATAACAGTCAATACTTAAAAGTAAAACTAAGAAAATGGTGTAGTGCTTTTACGATCAGTAACTAACCTGACTGATAAATTTCTTCATAGCTGTGCCCATCACTGCTGAAAGTGTTGCCAGCTTAGTGACTTTGTCACTAGATCTAGCAGCTCTTTTAGACCCCTCTAACATTTTTTCCAAAAAGTGACTAGCGACAAATCTAGCAAATTTTTCCGGTGTTTTTGGAGACTTTTGGAAGCTTTGGCGACGGCACTTTCCGAGCACTTTCCTCAGAGTACGGTGCGGTGAGCCCCTCCCCCTTCCCAAAGTGGTCCGACTCACTGAAGCTCTGTGCAGCACCCCGGCTGCAGTCAGACGAGAGGAGCCCTCTGCAAATGAGTCACTCGTGCACAAAGCTGCTGCTGCTCCTGCCTGGTTTACAAAGCGGGATGTAATATTTAATGTAATGTTTTTTTTTTCTCTGATATTGTCTCTCTAAAATAAATCTCTGGACCCGGCTGCATTAGACTCACAGGTCAGTCACTTCTTCACCTCGTCCTCCCTGTGTGCCTCGTGACATCTAACAGTCCGCAGATTAAATTTAAGGTTCTCACACATTTAATTTATGTAATTTGGATAAGCATTGACAGCATTTTTTGTTAAATTCAATTGCAGTTCTAAACATATTTTCTCACATTTTTTTCTCTTTAACGTCTCTCCTATAGCTCAGATCACAGTTATTGGCAAACATCCAAATATGCAGATTAGGCAATGACATCTAGTGACTTCTAGTAACTTTTGGGACAGTCAATAGCTACTTTTTTTTCTCAGAAGTTGGCAACACTGATGCTGAGAGTCATTATCAAAAGATTCACATGCTATCTCTGCCAGGAGTGTCAAACTCAGGTCCTCAATTGGCGCTGTCCTGCATGTTTTTATTGTTTCTCCGCTCCAACTCACCTGATTCAGTGATTCAGTTACCTCTTAAATTCTGTAGAATCTTGTTAATCAGCATTCATGGAAATTAGGTGTGTTTGAGCAGGAAAACAAGAAAACATGTTGGACAGCGGTCCCCGAGGACCAAAGTCTGACTACTGTGCTCTATGCTAACTGATTGCAAGAGAAATTTGTTAGTAGAATTTGTGGGTTTGTTGGCAAAATATCTCACGAATCACTGGACAAACTTCAATGAAACTCTCAATATAGTTATTGGAAGCACATGTACAGTATAACTAAACTAGAAGCACTCAGAGAGTGCAAACCTCTGCCAAGACCAATTTCCCCCATCCTGTAATAGAGTAATTGTGCAAAAGCAGAGATGGAAACACATTTGTCGAATAAGTTTTGACGTAGCGAACATTTAAGCAGGCAGAATGCATGTAATTTCTTCTCGTGGAGTTCAATGTGAAAAAGCAAAAGTCAGACTCGTCACCCGACATTATTCATCGTCAAACTGGTGTCAGATTAAGCTTCTAAGTCAGGGCTACTCAACTAAATCGCTCCGGGGGCCACAGTTACTGCAGGTCAACAGCTTAGGGGCTAAACATCCAGCAATTAAATTTATTATGTAAATAAAGCAAGTATTACAAATATCYGTTACYTTACTAGTTTATTGTGCTGCATTTAGTYATGATTACAACATACAGAACTCTATAAAAGTAGTGACAAATAAACAATATCAAAAACAAAAAGAACACATTATACCCCTTATTTGACACAAATATTATTTTGACATGTCTGACAAACCATCTTTGTTTTCATTTTGGTAGTTTTATCTTCAACTGCTTGTCATTTTAACTGGCTTTAGTGTGCATATATAGAAATGGTTTTTACCAGCTTATAGCCAAGATTCTGATGGTCATGTAGATACTAAACATGTGTATGTCTACCTAAAAGAACTCAGAGTAATTAAAGTAGAAAACTAGTGGTTTGAGCTTGAGATTAATTAACCAATTGGGGGATGGCCCGCGGGCCGCCAGTTGAATTGCCCTGTCCTTAGTTTTTATCAGTCACATTTCACTGCGTAAAACATCTGTTTTATCCCCTTTTATGAGATTGTAATGGTTTGACTCTCTTTATGAAGTGGTACAGTCAACTCATGAAGTGGTTTTTTTTTAAGCAAGAAGCAAAATACAGTGTGTGAGCGCTTTCAGCAATTAAAACATTACCTCCTCTCCCTTGGCACACACACTCACACACTGTCTGGTCTAAAAAGTAACCCACTAGCTTCCAAAATGNCATTTTTTTTCTTTTTGATTGGTTGTTTGGGAAATGTGGTGTGTTTAAGGAAATGGGAAAAATGGGTTTCATGGTGCAGTGACGCACTTCCTGGTCACACAACGTTTTCTAATTGCACACCAAATGCATAAAAATGCGCACATTATGTCAAGAATTATTCATCATTAAATCTGGTTTTATTTGGAAGTGAATAAAATTGCTGTTCAATTCAGTTCAAATGAACACTGAAAGCTGTCACTTTTTACTGAAGCCCTGTTAATGCATCACAGCTTTCAAGCTCAGAGGGTTAAAAGAAATAAAAAAAATTCAAGTATCCGCATTGTGATCCAGAACCTCACCAAAATTTATACATGTGTTACTTTGGCTAATATCCACATGTGATAAAAATGCCATGACAATCCGTCCACAGGTTCTTGAGTAATTTTTCCACAGACAGAATGACAGACTGCCGGACAGACATACGCGACCGAAAACATTACCTCCTTGGCGGAGGTAATTACTTGTAGACTCAACCCAATCCAAGATTGCAGTCACAGCTAACAGACCTTAGAAAACACAAAAATGTCTCCATCTTCATCAGTTTCACACTAAAGGTGTTGAGCTGCACTTTAAAGAGGTGGTAGCCAAGAGTCATCTTCAACACATAATTTACAAGCCAACACATTTTGCAACATCTCAAATTAGCAAATTTGACCAAAATAGCTCTTACTCTCATTTCTCAACATAAGAAGGTCGTAGTCTGAAAAGTCTGGCATGAATAAAGAAAAGTGCAAGAAATGCTAGGCCTTTAATTTAAAATAACATATTTCCACACCCACTGTTAATACACAGAACTGATAGCACTCTGCAGTGAAACCTTTCATTTTTTTTCTTCTCTCAGCTGCAACAGATTAACTGTTCAGCTCCCTGCAGGCACACATCATAACAGGTAATTTTCAGGCTTTATTCGTCCCCCGTTCAGTTAATGCTCTTATCCAGAGTGACCTATAAAGGGAGCCGTGCTCAGGATTCACTAATGTGTTTTCATTCAGAGCCGTTTGAGGGGAGGGGGATTAAACCTACAGGAGCCACCTATAGGCCGACCTGCCGCCAGCGTTTTAGATTTGATTACGCCTAATTACTTTTCCGCTCAATTAGGTGTCCTCGGAGAATGCGGGGAAATGGACGACGTTTCGCGCTCGTTTGCTTTCATAGTCGAAACGCGCAGCGGGGGAAGAATTTGGGCAAAGATATATTGAAGGAGGAAAAAGG